TTCTGAGTTTGGTCCCTTCGATGTTGGGAAAGAATATGCCCCAGGCCTCCCTGTTTGGCTTCTAGATGGCTATCTTTATGTTCACATGGCACTCTCTCATGTGCGTAGGTCTGTGTCCAAAGTTCCCATTTATAAGGACATCAGTCATATTGGATTAGGGCCTAACCTAATGATCTCATTCTAACTAATTACATCTGCCACAACCGTATTTCCAAATAAGGTCACATTATGAGGTACTAGGGGTTAGAACTTCAACATATGAATTTTGGGGAGATACAATTTAATCCAAAACAAATGACTCCAAGATTTTTGGCCTAAGCAACTATAAATATGGAGCTGGGGAAAGCCAAAAGTGGAGCAAGAAATTATTTTTTAGAGCAGGAATTAAAATTTTTTTTTAAGATATAAGAGTCTAAAATGTAAGAGAGCAGACTGGGTTGGCATATATATATGTGTATGTGTGTATATTATATATTTATACATACATTATTTCTAAAAACATATTTAGGTATATATAAACACACTTCAATATACATATGTGTGTGCATATATGTGTGTATATACAGATATAATGATTTTATATGTATGTATACATATATTATGTGTGTATCTACATATCTATACGCACACATATAATTATAGGCAATATTTAAAGCCCTGTTCTAGGTGAGATGACCAAGGGAGTAAGTACAGACCAAGAAGAAAAGTGAATCAAGAACTGAATCCTGGGGCTATCTATGATTAAGATGTCAGAGAGTCACAGCATTAGCTTTCTTGCAGAAATCACGTCTATATGAGTTTCCTAAATCATAAAAATGTCATTAGGATTGACACAGCCAATTTAGGAAATTAACAATATCAACAAAATCCAAACATACACATACTTTATGACCCAGCCATTTGATTCCTGTGTGTATACCCAACAGAAATATGTGCCTGTGTTAATCAATGTAAATATACATGAATGTTCATAGAACTGTGCATTTTCTGTATGTATATTATACTTTGACGAAAATTTATTATCCCTCAAAAAGTCATTAGGGAATGCCTTAAGTCATTAGGTCCCAACTCTCAGTGCCAGAAAAAACAGGAAGCAGATTTAATCTGGCTTCTTGGGTGTTAAGGATTGCTTTGTGGTCAGTCATGCGCAGAGCAACAAATTCAGGTAAGTGGTAGGATTCAAGTGTGTGAAAAGCAATGAGAAACCTTTACAACTTTCTCTCTAGGTCTTAGCTTTTGTTTCGATTTTTCTCTTGAGTAAGGCTCTCCAGCAAGCCCAATCAAAAGTATTCTTTGTTCCCCTAGCTGAAAGCTAACTAGGAATCACACCCTCACCAGTTGTCAGTTTCTTTTGGTTGCAAGGATGGAAACCCAACATAAAGGGAGTTAATGGTGTGTCTAACTGAAAGTCCAGCTAAACAATATGCCATCTCTCCTCAATATATCATCTCTCCCCGTCGAAAAGTTGGCCTCTTTGTGATGGTTTCATTCTTTTTTTTTTTTTTAATCCTCACCCGAGCATATTTTTCTATTTATCTTCAGGTAGAGAGAGAGGGAAGACGGGGGAGAGAAAGAAACATCAACATGAGAGGGATACATCGACTGGTTGCCTCTTGCACAACCCAGATCAGGGCCGGGGACAAACCACAACCAAAGTATGTGCCCTTGACAAGAATCAAACCCTTCACTTACTGGTCCATGGGCCAAAGCTCTACTGCTGAGCCAAACTGGCCAGGGCTATGATGGTTTCACTCTTTATTCCTGAGCAAGAGAACCACAAATCAGCCTGGACGTACACAGTCCAGACCCTGCAACCTCAGGGAAAACAGAATTTATTTTTCCCACTGTTGCATTGTTCTCCTAGGGTCATACTCTGCCTAGAAAAATCACAGCCACTACGTGTGAAATTTAGGATTATCTAGGCCTATGCCAAATGACCAGTGTCCAGGAAAATACTAATGCCAATACTTTAATAATAATAGCTAATGGTGACTAAACATTTATTATATGCAGCCACTGTTCTAACCTTCTTATATGTGTCAAATCATTTCATTCACACAACACATCTATGAGGTAGATAGTATATTCCCCATTTTATAGGTAAGAAAACTGAGGTATACAGGAAACTTAGGTAACCTGCCCCAGTCCCATAACTAGTAAATGGCAAACTCAGGATTAACATGCAAGTACCCCAAAACCCATGCACCCCTATGAATCACTCGTTCCAGGGTGTCTTTCAGGAGATCAGTATGCAGCATCTTCTCTTTTTCACACATCATTGCCTCTGAAATGCTGTCACCAGCTAACTGCTTTTATCCAAATCAACAACAGTTTTTCTACCTCTTTAATTGCCTGTGATCAGTTTCTTTCACACCCTTAGCAATATTAGCACTCTTGGTGGCCTCCTTATGTTTTAAACTTGTGGTAATCATCCATTTCACCAGCAACAAAAGCATTCTCTCCTTTGTTTGTTGCCTGAGAGACGCTTTTAGTTATGATGAGGTATCAGCAAGAAAGGATTGTCAGGTTGAATACTGAAGTTTGGTTCCACAACCAAGATATTTTTTTCCAGGAATAACTTGGTCAAGAACCAAATAGTTTGGGATGGGAGATGGTCAAGAACTGAGGTTTGACAGTATATGTCTTTTTTATTAGTATTTTGGATTTCTTAGGATAAAAACCCAGAAGTGGAATTGCTGGATCCTTCTTTGTCTATTGTTATAGCCTGTTTTAAAGTCTATTTTGTCTGGTATAAGTATTGCTACCCCAGCTCTTTTGTTTGTTTCTCTTTTTGTGAATATCCTTTTTCATCCCTTTACTATCAGTCTGTGTGTGTCTTTCTTTACTCTTTTTAATTTTTTTTTCTTTATTGATTTTAGAGGAGAAGGTAAAGGGAGAGAGAAACATCGATGAGAGAGAACATTGATTGGCCGCCTCCTGCATGCCCCCCACTGGGGATTTGGCCAACAACACAGGCATGTGCTCTGACTGGGATTCAACTGGTGACCTCTTGGTGCGTGGGTCAATGATCAAACACTGAGCCACACCGGCCGGGCTGTGTGTGTCTTTCAACCTGAAGTGAGTTTCTTGTACACAATATATACAAGGGTCTTGTTTTGCTATCCATTCAGCCACCCTTTGTCTTTTGATTGGAGTACTTAATCCATTTGCATGTAAAGTAATTGTTGATAGATGTATATTTATTGCCATTTTATTATTCATACTTTGATCTTTTTAAAATTTCTTCTTCTTCTTAAAGAAGACCCTTTAACATTTCTTGTAACACTGGTATGGTGGCAATGAACTCCATTAGCTTCCTGTCTGGGAAGCTCTTTATCTGTTCTTCAATGATAGCTTTGCTGTGTAGACTATAAACATTCCTATGTCTGAGAATATTTATCCTCAGGACATGTCTATGTGTATTTGTGTATCTGTGTATGTGTTGTGTGTTGTTGCTACAACAATTACCTCATGAAAATTGAGAGTAATAAGGAAGTAAGTCACACTTATGGGGTGAGCTAGTGGAAAGTATCAGAGGATGTATATTTAGGGAGAAGAGTGATCAGTGGAGTATGTCAAACACATAGAAGTATTCCTGAATTTGCAAATATTTTTCTCCATGATTAGGCCATCTGTGCTTGCTAAAAGACACCCACATCAAAGTTAGGCTTCTGGCTCCTGCAGAGACTGGGAGATACTGGTTTTATCTCCCCTGATGATTACATTTCAAAGCAGGGCTCCCAGGTATTTGAGAAAAACGTTCCTGGGTTATAAAACTGGCAAGAAACTTTTAAAGAGGTTTACATCTCAAAGGAAACAGAAAAAGAATGTACAACTGAAATTTTCTACAGTAAATGAGTGCTCTAAGAAAAAGGAAGTTAGGGGCCAAGATTCAGAGAGAAGCCTGTCTAAAGTTTAGTCAAGCTGACAAAAGACAATCTGGGTCGGAAGAGTGATGGTAAATGTTATTCAGCAAGTACATTCTAGACGTTTCAGCCCTAGCTTAGAGTCCTCCCCTCATTTCCCCTATGTCCTCCCCACTGCCTAGTAACCACAAAACTGAGGTATCTACCAACAGGTGCTCATCAGCTATGTAGCCCTGGGAACCTTGGTTTCTTCGTTTCTACATGGACATCATTATAAATTCATACTACACAGCATTTGCATGAGGAGTAAATCTGATGATCTGTGTAAAACACCCAGTATGGTGCCTGGCATGAGTAACAACTCAATAAATGGTAATTACCAATATTTCAGCAAGTTCTCACCTATGCTATCATAGTATCACAGAATGAACATACTATGATACTAATATCAATAAAGTACACAGAAAAGACATTCAAAGAATTATGTCTTATATCTGCCAAAACAGAGCGGAAGAAACCATCATTGAGGAAGCACCTATTTCCAAAGTTCCATGTCCTACCCTCCACAACTCAACCCTATTTTCTGCCCACATTTCTTTAATCTGTTTTTTTCATACTTAAATATTTCCCCAAATAGATCTCAAATCTGCATGTTTTTAGCCTACAGATATAATGCAATTTTTAAAATTACAATCTTTGTTGTATTTTCTTTCTTACACTTACACTTGAAGCATATTTACCCTTTGAAAGCCCATGAGAGAGCTAATTGACTTTTCAGAAAGTTCCTTGCAAATTCTCCCTCAAAAAGGCTTTCCTTTGTGCATATCTTGGTAGCAATTCTAAAATTTCAAGATTTGGACTCTGGCATTATAACTGTTCAGAGTATCTACACAGAAGTGGTCTGTTTCATCATCCAATGAGCTCTGCCTGTTTGTGGATGTGACACCCCAGTGGAAGGAAGCCAAGAGCCTATAGTAGCGCTGCTGGGGAAAGTTTAAGCAGCTGTGGCCATGTAATTTAAAACCTCTGAAAAGTGTGCTGCAGTCTGTGCACAGCGTTAGTATAACATGAAGACTGGATGTAGCCTGTTCTTCGGAGGACTTCTTCAGGAAAGAGAAGACTGAAAAGACTAACCTGGGTGCAGCCAGAAAGGTCCAAGTAGATGAGCTTGTGGCATCCGTTTCCTAAATTCAGGTACTGTAAACCTTTGTCTGTGAACTTTCTGCAATAAGCCAAACTAAGATTCTGTAAGTTGTGGAAGTGCCTGAAAAGACAGGGTGAGAGGCGAGAGGAAGGAAAGTGAATATAGTTGTTTTCTCACATCTTTCTTAAGCCACTATGACAAAGAGAAGCAAAACTGTAAATTAATCTTTCCTCCTTGCAAATATTCACCAGTTGCATCTTATTGTTAAGTCTCTTCTTGTTAAGTAAGTGAGATTGTGGTGACATATCAGATAATGCCTAATTACATTTCAAAGGAAAATAAAGATGTGCCTACATTTTAAAGAAAACTTATTAAGATAAAGCTTTGGGGTCAGGGAGGTTTGTGCATGAATGTTGTTTGGAGATTAGCTTGTGTTTCAAAGCAAAATTACAGAGTTTGCATTATTGTTGCATTTAGGTTTTATCTTTGAGGTACCAAAACAATGAGCAAAATGTCTAGAAATACTAACCCTTTGTAAACATTTAAATGGCGGTGCACTGTTAGTGAGTGAGGAGTCGGGCAGAAAGGAGGCAAAGTTGAATACAACAGGCTCTTAAAATGGACATGATCGGCAAATAGTTAGAAAAAAGAGATATGAGTGTGCATGATTTTGTTAGTTTCATAACTATAGTTAAAGAAAGACTAATTGATGTAAAAGTGGGTTAAGAAGAACAGCTGCAAATGAGTGGGCAGCACATGAAAGGACTAAAAACTACATCAGAAACTGTCAATCTCAGTAGAGTTGAAACCGACTCAATATGACATTACCACCATGACCAAAATGAGAGCTTACAGAAAAAAGGGAGCCTCTACTGCCATGCAAGGGCTCACAGTTTGAGGACACTCTGTGGACAAATTTCTTTAGCCTGGAATTTTTTAAAAGTACAAGAACTCCCACTACTGCCTACTCCTATAATGAAATTAACAACATGCTCTTGATTTGTGATCTGCAACAGTTTAACAGCAAATGAGAAAGCAAAAAGAACAAAAGGCAAAGAAGATGCCTCTCTGTCCAGCAAAAGCCCACAAACGTTTATAATAAAGTTTACCGTCACATAAATGGGAAATAACACATGCAAGCATTGAGCATTAATCAGATTTATTTCTGAAATTTGAAAAACACATGTATAGGATACAATGATTTCCATTCCATAGAGACTCGTTTGGTTCAGAACGCAGACTCCCTCTGGTAGTTGCCGTGTGTATGAGATTCAGCAGAACAGCCGGGCTGCCTCTGGAGTCCCCAGGGGCTGGGTGGGCAGGGGCAGCACTGACATCCCAAAGACGTGCCCCCTCCTGGGTCCCTTTAGTTAACGGAGAGCTGTGCCAAGGTTTTGGAAATGCTGTATTTTCCTCTCCCTGGAGTATATCCTTGTGATTCAACTGAGTCAAGTACAATTTTCTGGGGGTGGGGAGAGGATTCGGGGTGGGGTGGGAGGGAGTGCGGGGGGGGGGGGGGGCGGGGGATGGATGTCATTTCAGAGGAAGGAGTAGTAAAGCAGAGAGCAGGACACAATGTTTTGTAATCTGACCAAATTGGACGCAAATCGCAATCCTGACACTGCGGTTTCCCTAACCTCTCAGAGATTATAATATCTTTTTTTTTTTAACCCGACTAACTGTGGGCCTCCAGCTTTCCTGAAGCTCAGTTTTTTCATCTTTAACATGGATAGAATCCCATCTGCTCTTTCCTCTTAGAGGTGTGACAATTATGTAAGCTTATAGTTGTAATAATATTATACTGAGGGTGATTTATGATGATTAAAAACAGCAGGGATAGCCAGGCCAGTGTGGCTCAGTGGATTGAGCATCATCCCATGGACTGAGAGGTCCCGGTTCGATTCCCAGTCAGGGCACATGCCCAGGTTGTGGGCTCAATCCCCAGTAGGGGGATGCAGGAGGCAGCCGATAGATGTTTTTTTCTCACATCAGTGTTTCTGTCTCTCTCTCTCTCTTCCTCTCTCTCTAAAAAATCAATAAAAAACATGTTTTTTTTTTAAAAAAAAAGACAGGGATAGCCCTGGCCAGTGGGGTTCAGTGTTAGAGTGTTGGCCCGCACATCAAAGGGTCTTGGGTTCAATTTCTGGTCAAGAGCACGTACCTGGGTTGCAGGTTCAATCTCCAGCCGTAGTCTGGGTGAATGCGGGAGGCAGCCAGTCGATGTGTCTCTCTCACATCAATGTTTCTCTCTCTCTTTCTCTCCCTCTCCCACCCTCCCTCCTTTCCACTCTCTCTAAAAATCAATGGAAAAAATATCCTCAGGTGAGAATTAACAACAGTGACAGCACAGCAGGGATATGGCAGGGGCTTTAAATGTATATATTATTATGCTACTACCTCAAATAATAACATATTAATTGTTTTTATGAAACTTGTACTGTCTTCTTCCACTCGTCTGACAAAAGTGGAGCATTAAAACTGATTTGAAAAGTTTGTGGAACCTCACGTTGCATCTCTACCCTCATTTTGGTCATGGTAGTAATGTCATATTTAATCGGTTACAGCTTAGTGAAAATAGAGATATTTATTTTCCCCCATCAAAATTGATGGAACCACTGAATTTTATTGTTGGTCCTCTTGGGGGATTTACTGGCCCCAGGTTAAGAACTTCAGGTTTGGCAAAAGAGGTGTTCATTAGAGAAAATAACTCCCAGACTCAAAGTCTCTAGATGACTCTCATCAAAGTGGAACCTCATGGGAGCCATTGGTTTGAAAGCAAAGTACAGGGATCTTTCTAGGGAATTTACAGGGCTTCAGATTCAAAACTGCTGAGGAAGGGAAAAGTATCAGTTGTCAGTGAAATTGCATTTGGCAAATTTTATGCAATACTGCTACTTTTTATTTTGAATTTTGGCAAAGAAATATTTTCCTTACATGAGGAAGATCTGGTTCATAATTTTCCCAGCCCAGAAACAACTGTATAATTCTAATTCTGCTTTGAGGCACTGTTTGTAGTCTGTGTTTATCTTTTCCTAATTATTTGATAACTAAAAGTTTCTTATGTAAGGGGAGGATTTCTTTGTGTTATTTATTTTTCTACTGTTACAATAGTCTTTAAGAAATCACAGGTCTTATAGAAACTACATAGATTATTTTTTCTCCATTCTTCTGGCTTTTTTAAATCAAAGAATTGAGGCCTACTGTGTTAGATCTCTAATACTTGAGGAAGTTATTACTGGAAAGAATATAGAATTACTATGTATTTTACCAAAAGTTTCTCTGAAAAATCGCCAAGACAAGACTCAATCTATAAAATAAAGAATTTGCATGGAGTTTCTTTTGTGCTGAGTGTTGGCCTCTTTAGTTTTACAGAGATGGTTTTGCATGATAGAATTCCTAAAGAAAATCCAAATGCAGTGATTTGACCCCCTATTTATAGGGTAGACCTTGAGGACGTCCAGTCCAGAGAGCAGCTTCCTCTCTCTGCCCCACTCTGATGGGCACTGGTGACACTGTATAGCATGAGAATGCCTGCCAATAAGAAGTTTCCAAGCCAACTGAAGGATCAATTCCTCTATATGAAAAATAATGAGACACCATGGCACTATAGCATATATTGCTCCATTAAGGAGCAAAGATCATAATAGCTTTAATCACCACTGTGCTTAGAATGCCTCACACATAGTAGTTCATCAATACATGGTGAATACGTGAATGAATGTTGCTATTAGAATTCAGGAATAGGAGAAACCACCGTAGACTTCTGGTAGATGGTGTGGCTTGAGGTGTAAAGGCTGTGAATTAGACAGACAAGGAGAAAAGTATTCCAGCTGTAGAGAGTTAAGAATTGCCCTTGGGAAACCTGGGCAGATAAGTTTGATCAGATGATGTTAAGGGACAGTAAGGGAAGATTCAAGACTTCAAGCATGTCCAAACACGATAAGACTATTGCTCCAGGATGATACTTCTTGCAGCATAAGGCAAAGCAGACTGAAGGGAAAAGAAATGGGCTGAGCCTTCAGGATGCTGTGCCAGGCAAGGTGCTGAGAGTGCCACCTAGTTTTGGCAATGGGATAAAAGGAAAGGGTTTCATTCAGAAAATATTTAGAAACAAAAAATGTCCTGGAATGGGCATGAGCTGTGGGCAGCCATCATTTTCAGCGTTAGAAAACAGCAAGTCCCCAACAAAGTGAGGAAAAATATTCAAATGAAAAAACAGGCAAATCAATGTTGCCATGAAGGGCAAACAAATTACGTCTTTCTTCTGGCAAATGATTTCTTTGGAAGGAAATACTGAAGGCACTGAAGAGAGAATGACAGCAGCAACAAACAACATTTCTCTGGTTATTTACAGTTTAAAGAACACTTCTACATACCCAAGCATGTTTGAAATGGAAAACAAAGCAAAAGTAGAGAATCATTATGAAATGTATTTCATCATAGATTCAAGAAAGTCAGTGTACATTTATTTCATATGACAAAAAAGCATCAGTATCAAGTAGCATCTATCCTAAATGTTTTTTCCATAGCAAGAACTGAAAGTTAAAATCACAACAAAATTCTCATTTGTGCTCCTATTTTTCTATCTGCACATTCATACATGCACATATATTCATATAATATATATCTTAATATGAAATGTCTAAAAAAAAAGTAGTGAGTGTTGTTTCATAGGATTAGGGAGCCTTATAGAACTCCAGCACGTGAGAGCCTATTGAGCAGCTCTTCCCAGTTACACATTCAGTGACATTATATTTGTAGCTTACAACAGGCCATGGTGGAAGTATTTACACCACAGAAATCAGTAAATTCCACAAATCAGAACATCCCCTTTTCCCATACCCTAGACAGTTATTAGACATTTACTGAAATAGTGCTATCCTTGGAACATACTCTGAGAACTACTGACATAGAGAATGCAGTATGCTGAGGAGATGTAATCATACAGAGAGAACATGACAGCTTTGAAGGACAGGAATAAAAATTTGTTCTAAACATAAAAGGGGATACACTTAAGGTAAAACTGGAACAAGTGAAATAGAAGCATTAAAGAGAAAAATACTTCTTGGCTGAGAAAAGGGCTAAGTTTTAATATTCAGAAGGTTTACTATGTTTCAGGA